TGGTGAACATGGCACACAGATATATTGTTAAGTCTACGTTGTGACATGGTAGTTCTGAGCCACGTTTTCAAACGCCTTAAGGCGGAAAAGCTGCGCTCACACTCACAAGACGTCACAGGACACACTAAGAGAAGTTTCAAAAGAATGAACACTTGAGGAAACAGTGAGCGTACTGTAGGATCGGCGCCCCGGTAAGCAACCTTAGCATCGTGTAGGGACTCGGCTTTGTAAGTTTGCTTGAACATTTGCAATTGTACTGGGAAAGTACACTCGTCAATTTCCGGATACTTGGCCACTACATCATGATCCACTACTCCAGTAGTTAGCATCTTTTCCAACTTTAAATATTCGGCGAGGCCGGATTGTTGTGTGTCATACCTCTCAGACAAACCTGTGGTAATAGCATCGATAAATTGGAAATACTGCATCCTGTAAAATTCTTCAGGTGTTCGAGGTTGATATGGAGAAGCCTCATCTGTGTATCGTCGAGGAGGAGCTCGTATTCGAGGTAACTGGATTGGATTCAAATAATAGTCTTCACACTTCTTCTCAGCAGCAACAAATAGTTGATGGAATGCTTCATCACTTCGCAGTGTGCTGATGTGCTCTGACGATTTCTTTACAGCTTCAATTGCTCCGGAAAGATTGGAGGACTTGGCTTGAAGGGCGCTGTTAAGTTGTTCCAATACAGCTATAGGTTTGACGGCCATGAACAACCCAAGAAAAATCTTTCCCTGCATAAACCTGTCATTTAAGCCATTTGCTTTCGTAGCAGACTCGCCCGTCGCCTTTGACATTTCCTTCAAACTTTCTAGTATAGTTGCATATTGACAGATTGCAGAATGTATGGCATCTAATCTACATAGCCACCGAGTAACACACAGTGGCTTGATCTTTGTAGGATGAAGATTGTTGTCGCTCTCTACTGATTCACAGGAATTGCAGATTATCTGGAAAATAGCTTTATACTTTCCAGACCTGCTCATAAGAGCGCCCAGCTCGTTAATCCATTGTAAGGAGTCTCGAATAAGTTCGCAGGAGTTAACCGCGTGTTGCATGACAAGATTTGACGTGTGCGAACCGCAGTGAAAATACAGAGCAAGAGGTTGTTTTTCTCTCACCCTTGCTTGACATCCTGTATGACAACCGCTCATATTAGCAGCTCCATCATATGTTTGGGCACGCAACTTGTCAACAGACAGTCCAAACCGAATGAGGACATCAAATATCATCTGCGCCAACACGTCGCTCGTAGTACTAGGAATTTCATATAAGCCCATAAAGTCTTCGTGTACATTAAGTTCAGAATCTACATGTCTTAGGCAGATAGACTCTTGTTCATCTCCAATTATATCTTGTGTTCCATCAACAATCACTGCAAAAAATTCATTCCTCTGGATCTCCCGTATAATATCCTGCAAAATGTTATGACTGAAAAGCCTAATCATCTCGTTTTGCCCAGCAAATGAGGTAAAGTTAGTTGTTCTTTTTAGATAAATCTCCAGGTTTGGATTATCTTCCGTTCGCAGTTTGAGCAATTGCAAATAATTTCCATCAGATTTGTCGTGACCACGAAACGCAGTACCTTGCCGCAATAGGTACCTAATACTCGTAAACAACTTAATAAGCGAATTTCGTGCAAGCTGTTGATCTTTTTGCATCTGGGTAACAAGTTGAGCGCTTACCGATGGTTTTTTCACTGCAGCAATTTGCCTGACCGCCAATGAATGGGTTTGAGACTTTTGATGCGATTTAAATTTTTCAATAGCTTTCTTCCAGTTGTTAAAGCCGTGGGCAATAAATGCCGGTTCTTTACATCGGGCTAAGTCGATGATACCCATTGCATTAGCTTTTAGGCAGTAAAAACACAGAACCTTCTGCAAACTACTGTCATAGTGAAGCCATGGAAACTCATCATACCACTTTTTTTGGAAATGCAGCGTTCGTTTTGGTGTTATCTGAGAAGGGATGGCACTTACATTTGGCTGATTAGGTTCTTCTAAAGAGAAAGCTGCAATATTGGGAGATGACATAGGCAAACCTATTTCCGATGTGGAGCTAACACATGCTAGTGCAATGTCAGGCACAGAACGGCAGTCAGTAATATGGTGGGAATGGTGTCCCTCAACGTTCATCATGTTTGTCGATGCATCACAGCTAGGAAATGTATTTCCACTATTCTTGTTGGTTGGTAGATCGATTGACAGTGTTTCTCCAGGGCTGTTGTCATTGCTACAACTTGTTCTACTTAAGTCCGCTGTAACTGTCAATGGCAAAGCTTGTGTAGAATTTTCTGATGAAAGACTGGACGTAGAGCCGGCTGGCGAGCTTGGTTCGGATATTTTAAAAAACCTTGCAATTCCAGAAAGTTTCGCATGTTTTGAATTACTGTTTTTTCGAGACATGTACCAGTCAAGTCATTCATTGATTTCACAGTCATTCAAACAACAATTTTCAACAAATACTGCAGATACGGTAGCTGAATATACGTATAGAATTACCTTTCACATGATTACTGTAAAACAAGAAGCAGAAAACGAAAATTGCCAACTATGAACTGTTAAATAATGCTGCCAAGTAAAATTTCTTTAATTTGAGCCTGTTTAAATGCACTGCATAAAGAGGATACTTCATGTATGTTTCCACATAATGTTTTCGGTGCGAACATTAGCCTATACTTAAAGTCGAAATAGTGCTTTTTCTGCAATTTGATTAGTTGCGTATCTTGGAATAACATGGCACTATTAACCTAACCTTCGGGTCAAAACAAAATGGCGTCGCATTTTGGTGCGACAAGTAAAGACGAAATATTTTAATTAAACGAAGCAGCAATGGCAACGAAGCAGCTGAAATGGCAACAAAAAGGTCACATCTCGGTGAATATCTGAAAATCGTGAGAAAATTGACTTTTCAAAAGTGGGGGGGATAACACAATATTCATCTCCCTCAGCCGAAAAAGTGGGGGGGACATGTCCCCTCCGTCTCCCCCAGGATTTGCGCCCTTGCCTACAAGGTCTTTAATAGTAGTGGGAAATTAGGAAATTCTGAGCAAAAAGTGGAGGTTTTTTGATAAAAATATCTTCATACAAATGTCGTGCAGGCTCCTAACTAAACCAATTGTGTAGATATATATTTTTGTAGCCTAACAAATAGCTTATGCTTTCAAAAAAGTGTAAAAGAAAGACTGTGGAAAGCCGTAAGTTGACCTATGTACGGAAGTTCGTAGATTCAAGATGGCGACTCAAGAAGACGAAGATTTATATTACAAAAGAAGTCATAAATGTTCAAAGTTAAGAGGCCATAAGGGACTTTGCAACTTGAGACACAACCAACCTTACTTGATTCAATTCCATACCAACGAACAATGAGATGTTTACCTCGCAATCAGGTATATGTGGCTTAAGCCACGTTTCTGATACGGTAAATACATCAAAAGGTTTATCTTTAAGTAATATTTCAAGCGTGTCCGTTTTATTGATGACACTTCGTATGTTAATGTGAGCAACTTTTAAGCCACGTTCCCCAGTAAAATCCTTCACGTTAAATTTGAAACTATCGTTGGAATTTGGACCTGGATTTGTTTGGATGTCGTTTGCACACACCAATAACATTACAAGCATGAGCCTTTTCATTAACCTGCAGCTTAAAGCCGAAACTTCAGCGCTTGTGAATTCACGATCAGGCTTTGATGCAGTGATAGATAAATTGTGAAGGGGAGACACAACCAACCTTACTTGATTCAATTCCATACCAACGAACAATGATTTCTTTTTGTCGTAAAGCTCATGTTGACCCAGAAAACAGATCCACAGAAACATAAGATAGCAGAAATTACGAGAGCATGATTGCCCAACACGAGCCATTGCAAGCGGTGATAATGATGTGTAATGTGAACTCTTAGTAGTCAGTTGCTACTGAACTGAAGGGAATAAACCTATCTGTGTCAATATACATGTGATAAATAATTTCAATACTGTCTCTAGTCTGAAATGTCAAGTGTTCTCCTGCTTATAGGCACAGGTAGGATAACACCTGATATTTAAATCACATGATCTATTAATATAAGCTGTTTGGTCCATCACATACCATAATATGTTGGGTTCAATAAAAAATAATGCACTTCCCAGGTGACAAAAGGGTTGGTAGAATACATTTAATTGTAATTACAACACGTCACTAGCTTTCTTCAAGTCTTTCCGTAATGCTTTCTTTCGCTGAACACCTTCCTTTAGTTTGTACTTATTCACAATATCTTTAGCAAATGAAAAACACCTAACAGTAACATACAACTTTACAATATTTTCTAAACAAAAGGACTGACATTCTTTGTATATTTCCATATCACAATTTGCAACAATATTGCACCACAAGCTTTTGACAAGAGAAGAAGACAAAACTTCCATCCCTATTTTGTCTACTGGTAGACGAGTGACCTTGTACATATTTGTGTGCTTCCTAAAAACTACCTCACTAACTTCCAATACACTTACAAGCCATGAATGAGGTGACCAAAGGCCACCTCTTGACAATGATGAAATATACTCATTGTCCTCTGTTGCAGTTCGCATGGAATACATAAGGGATTGAATTTCTTTGTTTCTTTGTGAGTCTGATCTTGAACAATTTTTGCTCTTTTGGTATAAAGATCTGATAACATATCCTGCCAAATACATCAATGGCCCATGCTCTTCTGGTGAAAGAGACACTTCTTCCTAAAACAAGTCAGAAAAACAATGATAACCATTATGCTACAAGTTGCTAATACACTGGGCACCTTGCTGGGCACAAGTATCTGCACCTAGGCTAGGGCTACTTTTTGGCTCCTTAGTATCACAGTGATAACCTTCATTTGAAAAATATTCTTTAAATTTGAGGTTTACTATGAAATACCACACACACTCCACGGGGCATTTTTATGGACCATACCCACTCCACTCTCTACAGGGCATTGTTTTTGTAAAATACAGATACCCTACTTTAAACATACAAAGTTACAAACTTCAAACATACAAAGTCAAGCAGATTACCTCAGATTCAGATTGCCCATGAGTATCTTTCTCTGCAAATGTCAACAGACACACTGGCAGATGAATCAGCATCAAAAACACTATCTTCTTGTCCAAATACAGATGAAAATATTCTTCCCAATGGGCATTTGTATTGCCATAAATCTCCTTGAGAAAGTTATCCTTGCTCTTTTTTCTTTTAAACTTTACAAGGAGGTCATTCAGGAATTTCACAAATGACTTACTTGGTTCCAGCTTAAAAACCTCTGCAGTTTGCTCGGGTTTGTAAAGTTTCTCATCCGTCAGATATCGGCCAATGTCCCTAATGATAGACTTGGTTCTTTCTAGTGTGATAACAACGTTGGTGACAGATGATGAAGTCGAACTCTCTCCCAATTCGTCGATATGCTTACTTCGCTGGTGCTTTGTTCGTCCCCCCTTTGACTTGCAAACTTTCCCGCAAAATTCGCAAGGAAATGTCTTATTTCCTTCGACCTAATGATGTAGATTAATGTTAAATTATAAGTTAGGTTTTTGAAAAGGCTTAGCTTACTTTGTTTTGATATTTAAACTCACCTCTTCATGAGAATTCTGAACTTCAAACAACACTTCCTCCACGTCCATATCGAGCATCGCTAGAGTTGGCCCAAAATCGGCTATAAAACCCGAACTAAACACTTCATCGCCTTGAAAAATCGGCAGAGAACTCTCCTCCTCCGTATCCATGTACTCGATGTCACTCGACTCCATTGACTTTGTATGTAGCCAGAAAAAAGCGATTTTGGAAAAAATCCCTCTAACTTCTATAAGTTTCTACTACGGCAATGCACTATATCATGTCACGTGATGCATTTTGTAACATGATATCCCAAATGGTCACGTGTTCCTTTTATGTTTGCCGGCCTTCTAAACCCTCCCCCTATATTAACTATGGATTGGGGTACCGCTAAGTCAGCTATTAAATTTAAAGTGCTCAGGAGTATAGGTCAACTAAGGGTTTTATACATTTTTATTTCTTTTTATCTAGTAAATCATAACTCATATTTACTGGGTGGCTAGTTCTAGCAAACTTGAATATTAAATATATACGAAAAGTGCTTAAGCCTTTTGAACCATATTTTCAATATACATGTTCATCCAGATTTTAAAATTTTTAAGTAATGCTCTCATGAAGTGTTGCATTGCAAATGAATAAAGGAAAGTATGAGAGCCATAAGACAACAGAGTGCACAATAACACTTCTAGTACTTCCAATTCTAGTATTCCCAATTCTAGTACTCAGAAATATTTCATTAGCATTGTAGTATTAATATTCTTCTTTGATCTTTTCTAAAATTATGTGTGGTTTTTAGGTTTTGCAGCACATAAGACACTTGAGAAAATTCTATACCCAGACTAATAACTTTTATTCTGAAGTTATCAGACTACCACCAAACATCATCACTGGAAGCAAAACATGCACTGGATAACCAATTTGCTTCTAAAAAGATATATTATACATATCATGCTTTAAATTATTGCTGCCACTCTGGTGCAATCTCGATTTGTGTCTGTCTGTCCATCAACATTTTGGGGGGGGTGGTTTTACGGAATGAGGGGGGACACTGGTCAAGCAAGATTTTGTTCGGCTTCCTTCCATGTGCTTATAAAAAGTCAAAAGATAAGTTGCAAGAAAAATATGGCTAATATACATATTTCTAGTAATTTACATGAAGGTAATGAACATTTTAGTGTTCAATCTAGAGGTAAGCAATGTGCTTTCATGAGTTTATCGGCAATTTTAACAGCCCAGAATATCCCAATTGTAGATTGGACAAAAATAACATTTAATAATGTGTTACTGCAAGGAAACAAAATGTACCTAAGAGCTCTAAATAGTGGCTTAATAGTTCTGGACTCAGGTGTCCAATTTTTATCTGTAGATAACTTACCAAAAGTTGTTAGTGTTTCATGTTGTAGGAGCATGTTTTCATATGAAATTGAACTGCCAATGGAGGTAGAGCCCTTTAAGGCACAAAATAACACTCAACTACTTGTTGTGGTAGAGCCTGTTTAGGCACAAAACAATAGTCAACTACCCATTGTGGTAGAGCCTGTTCAGGCACAAAACAATAGTAAACTACCCATTGTGGTAGAGCCTGTTCAGGCACAAAATAACAATGAACTACCTGTGGTGGTAGAGGCCATGGATAAAAACCTTATTTGGTTGATAAATTATGAACAAGAGCTTCAAGATCTTGTAATCACTGACAGTGAAGTTGAACCTCACTATTATACTACTCATTCAGCGCTTTTGAATGCATTCATGAATCATAGTTATGCTATTTTAATATTAGAAGGCTACATGATGGCCATGATAAAACAATAGCCGGTTCCCCTTATTGCGCGAGGGCCGCAGAGAATTCTGGTAAATGTATTCAGCAAGCTCCAATATGGCGACCAACTTTGTTGATGAGGAGCCGTCTACTTCAAACGTTATTTCTCTGTCCTCTCAGCCAAATTCTAGTTCTTTTCAGAACTCTAGCACGGATTTGGTCTCTGAGATGACAGTAGGAAGTATTTCAACACCGAAATCGACGTATCACAGTGGTGGTGGTATTACGTGCTGTGTTCCAAACTGCTTCAACAATTCTGTCAGGAATAGAGAATTGTCGTTTTACGTTATCCCAAAGGATCCTAACTTGAGGAAGAAATGGCTCTGCATGCTGAGACGGAAAAACTTTGTCCCATCGTCTTCTCATCGAGTTTGTTCAGTCCATTTCGTTGGAGGTACAAAAACGTATATTAACAATATTCCGACCATAAATATGCCTGTAAAGCCAAGAACACAGACCGCAGCTAAGCCACGTACAACAAAAAATAGTACAGAGGGAAGAATGAAATCAGCTCTCCTGCCAAGGAAGCTAAACTTTGAGCAAGACATGGACATTGAGAATAAAGAGCCTGAGGAAGATAATGAATTGAAAAGACTGCAAAAGGAAAATCAAGAGCTAAAAGAACAAATGGAACAGCTGAAGCAAGAGCACAGTAAAAAGGTAGAGGCGTTGACGAACACAATTGCTGAACTAAAACAGAAACTAAGGGAGAGTGAATTCTCTCTACAAACATTTAAGGATGATCCAAAACTTTTTATGTTTTATACTGGGTTTCAAAGTTATGATTTATTCAAGGCATTCTTTGAGTTCTTGAGACCAGCAGTTAATAAATTAAACTACTGGGGATCAAATACCAAGAATGATGAGTCAGTCACACTAGAGTCATCAAAACGTGGTCCAAAGAGACAAATGAGTCCTGAGCAAGAATTGTTTATTGTTTTGGCAAGGTTGAGATGTGGTCTTCTCGAGCAAAACCTTGCTGTAAGGTGCAAACTGTCCACTAGTCACCTCAGCAGGATATGCATAACATGGATTGATTTACTTCATTCGCATCTGCGAACAATACCAATCTGGGCATCCAAGGCATCTATCCAAAAAAATATGCCAAGCTGTTTTCGAAGCTCCTACCCAACAACTCGGGTCATATTAGATTGCACAGAAATATTCATTGAGATGGCATCATCATACCGAACACAGAGTGCAACATTTTCTAGCTACAAGCACAGCAACACAGCTAAGGGTCTTATTGGAATAGCACCAAATGGGGCAGTTACCTTTGTTTCGGAGCTGTATCCTGGTAGAACAAGTGATCAAAATGTTACCAAGCACTGTGGTGTTTTACAATTATTGGAAGATGGTGATTCAGTTATGGCTGACAGGGGGTTCGATATTTTGGATGACTTACCAGAGGGTGTCACACTGAACATTCCAGCCTTCATGAGTGGAAAAGACCAGTTGTCTGTGGAAGAAGAGACTGAAACAAGGAGAATTGCCTCTGTACGTATTCATGTTGAGCGGGCAATCGAACGCGTCAAAAACTATAGAATGCTACAAGGAAGGTATCCAACAAGCATGATTGCAGAACTAAATAAAATTTGGGTTATTTGCTGTTACCTTGTTAACTTTTTACCTCCTTTAGTCAGGGATGATAATTGATAGTGCTTAATGTATGGAAACTGTCATGGTTATTATAATGTTGGTATATATGGCAAAGTTTTATGCACTAGTGGGTTAGAAACAAAGTGTTATTTGCCCCCAAAATCTGTTGAGACATTAGAAAGTCAAGGCATTGAAACATGATAGCTTTAAGTTTAGAAGATTTCATTCATGTTTAGACTATTTCATGAGGAAATTAACCCTTTAAGTGGCAATGCACCCTGATGTGCCCTATTTTAGTATTTACTGTCTGATGCTAGATAATTTTATTTGTTAAGTGGAGAGTGCTGCCACTCAATGGGTTAATAAATTAAATATTTCAAATTGGCTATTCAGACTTGGAATAAATGTTCATCATATCATTTATCAATCATAACACCAGAATATGTTGAAATGCCTGAATATAGTTGAATTAACTGTATTCCTCTTGGTAAAATATAAATGTGAATAAATACCTGGCCACAACCAGGACTGTTCAATAATTATTTAGTTCAATATTACTAAATATCAATTTAATTGAACTCATGCCTTTAGAATTTCAGGCATCATAAATTTAAAATAGAAATCTGAGAGTTTAGGAAGCATGTTATTGTTCCAAAATTGTTTGTCGAAATCAATTCTTTCAATATAAATATCCTCTTGTGTATAGACTATGAAATCTACAAGAGGTAACTGGCAAATGGACATTACACCTAAACATTGAAAATAATATTGATGATTTCTTTTCAGTGTAGGTTTTCCATCAACAATGGTCATGCAGAAGGTTTTATCAGAGCATGCCTCTTCAATTTTCATGTCCCTCTTTGAAAATGGGCATTTTATTTCAATACCATACCACTGACCATTTAATAAACTCAATCCATCTGGACTGCATGCCAGCCAGGGCCATTGTGGATTGATGATCAGTCCACAATCATAAAGTTTAACAAGGGGATATTTTTCATTGTATTTCTCTTTTGCCACATTTTCATTTTCAAGCCCCCAACGACAAGCCTCTGTTGAAACTCTTTTGTCTCCAAGTACTTTCTTCAAAATACTTTTTGGGTAGATGTGCATCCTTCTTTTAATCACTAAGCCAAAGTTGGAAGAAGTTAGTCTTTTCCTTCTTTCCATAAACCACTTCTTATTACAAGATTGTCCCATAGTTTCCTTTTCAATTATCTGCATCTCCTCCTTTGACACACAAAATATCAGTAACAAACTTGCAACATGGTCCATCTACATGTTTCCACTCAATTTCTTTTGCCAGACCATCAAAAATCTCTTGTCTTGGGTCAACTACCATTAAACTATCATCACAATTTATTTGGGTTTTTAGTGAGGTTGGAAATAGTGTTCATGGTTGGCAATCACTGTCTTCAAGTAATTTTCCAAGAAGAGTATTAGAACCACTTAAATCATCTTTCAATTTCTTTATCCTTTCGACACTTATTTCCCTTGCCATTGGTGGGGTGGCACAGTAGCCATTTCTTGAGGCAGACAAAATAGGTCTTTTCTTTTTATTACTATTGTCTCGATCAAAGTTGGCTTTTTCAAATTTCAACTCAGTAAATGGTATTGGTCCCTGTGTATCTGCATTTCGTGGGACATTCCATTGCTGCAGAACATCAGTACAGGTTTTGTCATCAGGGACAATACTTAAGCCAAGTTCACAAAAGTCGTGTATTTGGAACAGAGTTGCTGCAACATGTTTACAGCATCCCCCAGCACCAGCCTTGCAAGAACACTTGGCTTTAACAACCTTACCATTTGTTTGGGAGAGGTGGACATACACGGTGTAGGATTGCTGTTTCATGGATGCACACACAAGACTCTTAACGAGAAAAAGTTTGGAGTTGGCGTGCACGTTGGGTTTGACACGAAAATTTTTTACATAATTCTCTTTAAACAAGCGAT